TCACTTTTGAACCAATTTCAATTTTATAACCTCTTTGCGCAACATCTTAAACTACTCGTTCGGCCATTAATTCCTTACACTCAATACTATTGTTATTCTCTGGCAACGGTGCCAAAATGTGGTTATTGTTTTACTTATTCTACAAATTCCTTTGAAAATAAACCCATAGAGGGAGATTCGAACACATGGAAAGACTATCGCATGAACTTACACATTAGAGTCACACAATTAACCGTAATCCGAACCACTAAAACACCAAAGAATATTACAATGCTTTCTCCCAGTAATAATACTTCTTCATCAATTGATAACAACAATATGCAACCATGTACTCTCAAAAGACTGCTCAAAACATATAAATTCCATCCAACACCCGAAATAACAAACTTCATTCCAACCAATCTATATTCACACAGTTTTGTAATCACAAACTTCCTCTGTCAAAACACACACAACTCTCAATAAACAACATTTATAATCTTTCATCCATAATCAATCTTTCAATAACTTCTCATATAATTCAATCACACAGTACTCTAATTACATAATCAATAATTCATAAATCAATCTCTGATTTATTCTATAGATTCACTTCTCAATATTCAGAAACTATTTATTATTCTTTAGCAAAAAAAAAACAAAAAGGTAGCACCAAGCTTACCCCGACTCATGACTATCATAGTTTGGCCCTTACAATATCTTCTTCAACTTACTTATACTTTACTTCTGAAATTCTAGATTCTAACCATCATTCTCTACTTAACCGTTTTTTATAACTAATTCAATCACCCATCCTATTGAATTGACTATCCTATGAATGATTAATCTACTTTATTAATATCTTACAAAAATAAATTTCTATCCCTTCTACAATAGCAATAAAATAATATGTATATTAAAAAGAAACTAGAATGGCTATTGCCAAAAAACAAGGAAACTAGAAATTTTTAAATCTAGAGTAGAAGCAAGAAAGGAGTTGACAAGAGTGAAGAGGACTTTACTCTTATCTCTATATATAATATCCAACTAAAAGCTACGTGGCAATATTTTATAGGACCTCTAATATGTGTTGACTTTGTAAGACACATGTCTTAGCTTATAAGGCAAGTTTTTTACATGTGGACTACATAGTTAGCTTGTTCTTCAAGCTACCAACATGTGTGGCACATGGCCAACTTATTGACCATGTTTCTAACCTAAAAACTCAATTACAGATACCTATAAAGTCAAAACAGTATCTATGAAGCTTCTAAAAAGTTTCTATAGAAGATATTATAGAATCAATCTACCTTTACTTATTTTTATGTAATCATATAGGTAATTATTGGTTTACATGTGTATGTCCATGACAATGGGCCAAAATCAATTCTCTACAATAACATCAATAATATAAAACTTCTTTGAAATTGTGTGATTTACACACAAACAAAGTACATTGATCTTTATTATCATTTCATTTAATAGAAATACCAAGATAGTAATATAAAAATCAATTATATTTCAATCTAGGACCAAAAGGTAAACAGACTTACAAAATCATTGAAGCCTCAATTGTTCATTAAAAACAAGGAAGAAGCCAATTTATTTCAAATACTTGTTTTATCACAGATTGATATAATACAATGAATCAATACCTAGGTCAATCTTATAATTTGAGGCAAATTCGAAGAGAGCAAATACTACACCTTTAACTCTTAACAAGTACCACAACAAGCAACATAGTGTAAGAAGAAAAACTTAAAACTAGCACTATAGAATGACCAATTTTAGCAACTTATACATAGGTAATTATAAATCTATTTAAAAAACAAACATTGAGTACAGAACTAGCATATTATAATTAAAAATTTTATTTTTGTTCACAACATCTTAAGGATATCCGTAAAAACAACTCTATAATATAACATTTTTGAAAGAAAATATATGAATTGAAAGAAGGTGTTGGTGAAACAATCTAGCACCTTTACTTTGTTAACTTGTCATATCAATCTTAACGAGAAAGTAATCTTAGTATAAAAAAATTATAATACTATTATACTATATATATATATATATTTTTTTTTATTTTTTTATTTTTATTTTTATTTTTATTTTCAACAAATAGATGATTATGCAATAAGAATAGTTATGATACCAATTTCCATTTCAATCCTCGTTGGTGCCAAGAAAATAAGCTCTCTTTCTATCTCAATGTAATAAGTTTCAATAGCTCACTAAGCTACTTGCTACCAAATTAAATTAAATAATCAAGTAATAAACTAAATTTTCAATTCCAAAGTAAATTTCAACAACTCAAAAAGTCCTTTGCACTCTCAAGCAATTTGGATATGGCTACATTAGGCAATATTTTGGACAGATGAGATGGTCACGTACCAAAGACGAGTTGCTTTATAGAAGACAATAACAAAGTGTGGAGGTGGAGTGAAATAGGACTAAATGAATCATCACATGGTTTAGGAGCATAGTTTTAATTTTATTATTTTATTATTTTATTAATTTTATTATTTTATTAATCATTTTTTTATGTCTTTAAAAATAGATATATTAAAATAAAATAAAATAAAAAATTATTAAATACTTTAATAAATTCAAAAGATTATTAAAAAAATATTTTTTTATTTTAGTTTAAACTATAATATGTTAATTTTAGAAATAATAATATTTAATATAAATCTATTAAAATAATTTCTATTTATAGTTTTAAAAATATTTATAATGAAATTTAATATAAATTTAATATAAATAATACATAAATAAAGATTTTGATACAATATTTAGATTAGATTTTAAAATGAATATGAATAACTTTTTAATAATTATTTAAGACTTAAAATATTAATCTAATAATTATTTTTGGTCTTATTTTAATTTTGATTGATTTTGAGCCAATAATAAGATTTATGATTAATTAATGTGATAAAATCTACAAATCAAAAATGATAAAGTTGTTATCTTTTGAATTAATCCAAAAATTATTTTTAGATTAAAAATATAAATTTAGATTTAGCAAAAATCACATGTTTTTGGATAATTAATTTTTTGAATATATATAGAAAAGTAAAATAAAAATAAAAATAAAATTACTTTCTTAATTTTAATATTAATATTAATCTATTAAGTATTTAAATAAAAATAATCACTTAAAAAATTTAAAAATTAGATTACTAATAATTATATTTTATAACTTAGCATTTCTAAGATTATACATTTTCAAACTATATATAAATAATTAATTAATTAATTACAAGAGAATTAAAATCCATCTACAATAGAATAAAAATATTTTAATTATAATTTTTAGACAATAATTTATTGCAAATATATTTCAAATATTATTTGGCTCAATTTAACTAAGTAGCATTTAGAAATTAAAAAGAAGATTTACTATTGTTAAAAATTATGTACAAAAATATTTCTATTTTAATAAAGCAATTATTTCCTATGATTATATCTTATATCTTTATTTCTTAATGTATTTTATTTATTAAGATATCTAAACTTATTCTTAGAATACATTAAATTTACATGTTTGTCAACTTACTTATACTTCTAATGGTTGTTTAAGATACAATTTGTGAATCTCTCAAACTTTCTAAAATTTCAAACATGTTTTGTTAAATATTTATTTTAAAAGTTTAGTAAGTATAGCTTATATTGTCAAATCTTCTAAAAAAGTGGACAATAAACAACTTGTCAAAGAATGGTACTTGGATTTGGCCAAATATTAGAGAACACACTTTATGTGCTATTTGTTGTACTTTAAGGTCAATTCTCTAAGATTCTAAAAAGTATGCAAATACAACTCTATATAATGATGTGAATTTGCCATGTGGACAAAAAAAAACTTGTCATCATATACATGATTGTACTTTGTAATGATTGGAATAAATTACAATAATAATGTGTATGTTGTTAATAATAAATATATATATATATATATATATGATTTATTTATTTATTGATTGATTCTTATCACACAATAGTATAGATAACAACTTATACTTAAATAAGGTGTCATATCTTAGCACTTTTTTATATAAAAAATAAAAAATAAAAAATGGTTCAATTTTTTTTAGTCACCAAAAATATTTATATATTAAAATCTAATAATAGAGTTATAATTTGTTTTATTATTTTTATTTACTAAGATTTTTTAGTATAAAATATATTCATTATTTTATTTTTGTTTCAAGAATTTTTTTAAAGTGAAATCCATGTTATTATGCTATAAATGCATATCTTTAAAATGGAAAACAAAATAAGAATTTATTTAAATATACAAGTGTTTAAAATTCAAAATAAATAAATAAAAATAAATAAAAAATACAAAAAAATATAAATAAAATAAATAAATAAAGAAATAAATAAAATATACCTAATTTGATAGAAAATATATATATATATATATATATATATATATATATATTTATATAAGGGTGGTACTCTACTATTCCAACTAATGATTATTTTAGTGTCAAATTGAGGAAGAGAAAGCTTGGCATAAACCTTATCTATACTTTGCAACAACTCCAATGTTCTTTAATGAATAAACTTCTTAGGCTCTACCCAAAAGTGTTATATTATCATAAATCTAGAAGCGTATTTTTCATTACTTGTAGCATTTCCAAAAAGACAAATCTAATGGACATCTTGATGGTAGCTATTCTAACAAACAGAAAAAGATTCACAATTTTCAAAAGAAAGTCTCCATGGAAGTTGTAGTCAACCTGCAGATGTTTTATGGAATATAATTAGCAAAAATTGAACTTGTCAAAGTATTATTAAACAATGTACCTGTTTCTAAAGAATCATGCATTGACCATTTGAGTACACAACTCCTCACTTTATTTCACGCAAATGTGTGGTCATTTATACTAATTTGTCTCTTTGGCATTACTCGATTCAAAGTGCTACTTTTCATTCGGATTTCCTATTGTTAATGTATGCCGCACTTGAGAACTAACAATCATTATTAGTACATTGTGTTGCAAACAAATTAATTGAAAAGCCCAACAAGAACACTGTATATATAACATGAAACCATTGTAGGCGCTGTTTACTTACATGGTTTCAAGAATGCTTGATGAAATTCTTTCATCGTAGGAAATTTATTTTGTACAGCATAAAACAAACCCACTATCCAAACCGAAAACGGTTGATGAAGTCTGTGACGAAATATCTAAACAAATGTTGACCCAATCAACAATTTTATGATCTTCATGAACAGTAAGAGGGCTATGGAAAATGACTGAGCTGTGCTCCTCAGCCAGGAATCAGTAATAATCTTCTTGACTCACGTGTTGAAAAATCAACACAGTGCTTAAAAGAATGAAGAATGCAGTGAATTCAATCCACATAGCACCCCCCGTGATGAGGTCAGCATGCCGTAAAATAGCAGGGATAGCTATGCTTCCAACAGATGAAAATCCAGTAAGAAACTTAGCGGCATCTGCCCAACTGTGATACATGCACAACAAATTTTAGTTCAACAAATCACAACCAAATTGAAAATACCATTACAAACGTCAAATCCCAAGAACAGTCGAAATAGAATTGTAAAAACTGAGACTAAATTTTTTAAACCACGTGTGAACAATCAATTGCGTCGCCAAGGCATACCAAGTAAAAAAAAACACTTACTCATTCCCTTCTGAGGATATAAACGACTGCCCACCACCACCAAAAAACAAGCAAGGCATCGGAAGCATTATGTACATTAGGCCTGAAATCAGAGCCAAACAAACAAGTCAAGCAGCATTAGAAAGATCTCTGCATTAAACTCAGCAACATTAACAACATGAACGATGCGCAAGCACTCATTAAACTGCCCCACAAAAATCTAACTCCTCACTCAGCTCGCATAGATTGCCGATGCATTTGACCAATCGGAAAAAAGAATCTGAAAGACCATCGTACCAGTGAGCATCGGCCACCAGTTATTGTATAAAGCACATCCCTGAAAGAATCATGGACGTATTACAAATTTGAACACTATATCATATCGATAAGCTGATTTTCTTTATCACCTCATAATGCATCCACGTTCATACTTACAGTGTTAAAAGATAGTTCGCGGAAGGCCTCAAGAAACATTTACCAAATGCATAAACAATACAACGGCTAGAAGCTCTCAAAAATAAAAATAAATACAAAATAAAAATAGATTCTTCAGCAAAGGAGGGTATCATACCAGAATCTGGAGGAGAAAACCGACTGAAAACAAGAACGCTAAACCCGCCAATACTGCAGGATGAACAGCACAGGTATTATCAATGATGGCTACAGCAAGCAAAATCAGCACTGCAGCATTTGTATATGTCCAAAGTCACTTATGCTTTCTAAAATTAGGAATTTGAAGGCAGATCCCACTGTACGAAATCACAGAACTGATCAACAATTACAAGATAATAACTAGGTAGATTCTCACGATGGCAACGAAGCAGCAAACAATTTCGCTAATCTAACCACAAATCATTGCTTGTCTCAACAAGCTCTGCACTGCTATTCGACTTCTAACCCAAAAATGTTCATACCCCCACATAGGCTAGGAATATATCCAATTGTATTTTATCAAGCGTCAAGGAACTCTTAATTGCCAAATTTCCAGTTCACTGTAGTGGGTTTGAAGCGAGGGCTCCTTGAACGAAATGCGCGTTATTTCTGAAAGTCATCAAGTCCGGAATTACAAAACCCTAGTGTTTCATTGGAACGATCCACAACAAAGACATTGGCAAACTGTTTCCAAAAATGAATTGGAACGTTAGGTTTTGATGCAGTATAACTAGTTGACCCACATCTCAAAATATAGAAACCTCGAACACATGAATCCATCTCCTCCTTCATCAATCCACATCAACAACATGCCAATTAACGAGACCCGATCTTCCACATCATCCACAACTACCAAAAATCAAATCCCAAGATCTTTGCATCATCAAACCGTGCGATCGGAAATCACAGACCAAAATCCACGAGAAGAAACCAATCAACGAAACTCTATGACAAACTACAACCCGATCACCCATCACACCGCAGACTAAACCCAAAAAAAATAAAAAATAAAAACAAAAATAAAAACAAAAATGCAACACGCAGCGGGAAAATCCCATACCTTCCAGCCTAATCGCCATAGCAACCGAAATTGACACAGTAACAAGCAACCCAACAACGCAACTGGGAGTCCAAGAAGAAGCAGAGTCCTTCCGCGAAAGCCTAGACCACTAGCGAGAACGATAGAGGGGAAGCTAAACACCTGTCCGAAAGCTTACGAATTCTGACTCTATCCAATTAATGGAACAATATTCTGCGACAGTAGTGGAGTAGAGGAGACAGTCGTACCTTCGATGTTCACAGCCATGACTCGATCGCAGGGGTCAGTCGGTGCTGTTGCGAGCTCCACCACCATATCCTCCTCCTCCTCGGCGTCAACGTCCCCGACCTCACCCCAGCGACGGCAACGGCGGATATCTGGGCTCGCATCGCGGTATACGAGTGAATATCAGGGCGTCATGTACCCTCCCGGGTATCTATACCATTCCCGGATATATTATACTGTTCCCGGGTATCTGAGACAGTATTCGAGTGTCGAAGGTTATGTGCCGTGATGTCCATGTAGGACGTACTTAAAAGGATGTAATAATAAGCGTATTTTTAAACTATCCACATGATGGTGAAAACAGTAATGAAAAAATATGCTTTAAAAAACAATTTACAAAATCTATAACTATATCCATTAATTTAAATGAAATCACTCAAAAAATTATTTGTATTTTTATTTTGACCCACGTCATTTTAATCACAGCAATATTATTTATAACTGGTATAATACAAGACACAACTTAATTGAAGTACACAGTACGAAAAAGTTCACGTCCTTTTTTATTTTTGAGAATAAATTTATTTAGTTTAATCATGATTCAGTGCTTGTGAAAGCATCTATAAAATTATCCACGTAGCAACTAAGATTAGTAAATGAACCTACACACATACACACAAGCGCACATGCTCATATATATTAAAAACAATTAGTTGTTGGTAGAAAAATAATGATTTCAATAGAATGGTATATTTTTTGGGATGCCTTTTAAATATGCAGTGTACTAATATATTTGTTGTAATTAAAACTTTAATAATTTTTACATATATATTTACTGCTAAAATTCAAAAGGTAAAATGATTGTGTTAGTTCTTGTAAACCATTCAAAATTGTATATACTTTTACTTTACTTTTATTCTTTTACTTTATTTCCAGATCTTGAAATTTGTGATTAATTTATGAAACTTTTATGAATATTTGGTCTATTCCTGCTAAGTAATGACACCTACACAATGAGCACCTACAACGTCAATAATGTGTGTTTATATATATATATATATATATATATAATAAAACTTATTTTCATTACAGAAGGTTTCCAGATTTTATGTTTTTATTTTTTAAGAATGCTGTGTAGGTTTATACGGATAAATCTAATACAGTTGTGTTTCCATGCTTAATATATATATACACACACACACACATAGAACATGCATGTGGATGCATAATTCAAATGGACATGTCTTTGTATTTTATAGCATCAATTACATTTTTATAATGATTGATGCTGATTTTCTGAAGAAACAAATTTGAAGTGTAACATGAAATTATCAAAGTAAACGTATGAAAATATACAACAACATATTACACTTACTTTATTTTTTATTATTAAACACAAGACATGCCCCGAAAGGTTTTACCCGATTCATTATTCATTTACAAATACAAAGATTAAAGAATGAGGAGTTGAGTCCATATTTGTAAGATCATTTTCAAGACCAATTCATAAGTTTTTACAAAAAACATTATGCAAAGTATTTTCATTAAAAATCTATAAAATTTGAGATAAAGCAATAATGCAAGTGTACTAGGCCTCAAAATTAGGAAAAATAGATACAGAGATATAAACAAGTTTAAAACATCGGTGCTGAACAATTATTGTAGCATTTTGCAGTCGTTTTAGAAAACAACTGTATTATGCATGACGAACATGCAAAGTCCCAAAAGGAGAATTTTCACCCTCGGATGAACCTTTGCATTATGGGTGATTTCATTCTCATAATCCGACATGGATGAACGCAGTGACTTGTTCATCCAAAAATCCCGTCAATCCATCCACCTATCCGCCTGTCTGTCTCTCTCTGGGACCACGGAACTCTGACGGAATACTCCGAGAACTTATTAGAGATGAACGTGGATGGAAAATGTTAACCCTGGTTTTCGAGCATGTCCGTTTCTCCAGCAACAAACCCTAAATCTGATGCTGAGACTAGGAGATAGAGCTCGTGAAGAGCACGAACAGAGTCGTCAAGGATACTGCGACGGGGGTGGGGGCTTCTCCTGCAGAGAATGAAGTGGGAGGGACAAGTGTTTCACCTGGCCGGTGCAGTGATTGGCAGGGGAAAGGAGCGCGCCAACCTACCCATCCATTCTTCCACGAGGGCTCGGTCCATGCTTCTAGTCTGCCATTCACGAGACCGACACTACGAAAGTGGTGCCAGACTCAACTCCTACTCCTCGCTCGTCGCGCGCGCGTCCAACAGGATCGTGCAGGAATTCCACGGTCGCGAAGAAGACAAAAATGCTTTGCGCCCTGTGCTAGGCTCAGCTGGTGGTTCAGGTGCGTCGGAACGCAGAGTGAGGAAGCTGTGGAGAAACGACGCTTCACGGAGGAGGGAGTGGCAACGCCCCCCATTATGCAAGCGAATCCCGTGTCCTCATGGCGCATGTCACGGTCGTAGGGACCACCCATGATCTCGGTGTGTCTGATCAATGACCGTGGCGCACAGGTCTCCCCACGTTTCCTCTTTTCGTCTGAACCGGTTATGTCCTCCCTTGATGTCCGAATCCAGGCCTTTGCGCTCCACAATGCACCTCACTGACATAGAAGGTTCCATATAGAACTTAATGGCAATCCTGTTGCATGTGTGTAGGTTGCTCAATTGTATTCTTTGTTGATTCACGATCTTTCCACATTTCAAATCTTCAACTGGTCAAGTTGTAAGTCAATTCCACGTGTCCGCACAGTACTGGTGGTGACATGGTCCCGAGGCTGCTGAGAGGAAAGAGGTTGCGCCCATACGAACGAGTCAAAATGAAAAAGAAAAAAGTGACACTTCGAAAAGGAGAAGAAAAACTCTCCTTCTTTTCAGGGCAACTGCCCATATAATGAAAGAGTGAGGGGGCGTTTCTTTTGCATCCACCTTTTACGTTTTCATTCCGGTTTCCCCATTTTCTCTTCATCTTTCTTCACCTTTCATAATTCCTTTCATCTTTCTGCCCGTTTCCAAGCAGCTGCTGCTGACGTGGGAGGGTGGTGGCTATTTTTGGGTAGAAGGAGGACGGGTGGCCGACCGGGCGGAGGACGCGGGGTCCGTCGAATAGCGACAACCCACGTGGTGCTGTAAGTGGGGGAGGGACTTAGTCTACGTTCCTTTCGCATTATTTGGCATCCAAATCAGACCCATTTTTCCCAATTTTCGAAATTGTATTCCTACACTAATTGATTCCTCTTTTTATTCATTTTTCTTATAAAGAATACTGTCGCTTTATCAAGCCCACTGTTTGCGAAATAAGGTATTTTTATAGCCAAGCCCTAGTTAGATGCGAAGCCTGCTTCTCCATGCATGAGGGCTGTTCGAGAAAGCAAGCAAGCAAAGTGGGCGGATAGTTGTCTTCATCATCTTCTTCGTCTTCCCTGACGTTAACAAGCTCCGACTCAGGTCTTTTGAGCAAGAGCAACGGCGGCCATGGCGCCACAATCTATGACCTCAATGCCTGCAGTTATCTAGCCATCATCTAAAAGCGCCTCGCGCCTCTCCGAAGAAGATCCGTTTATTTGCTTCGTCGACATTGGGTTTTGTGCCGACCTGTGTTCACTGTGGTCCACCAGCTGGAGAGCCGCCGTTTTCCTTTTCCTGGTGTCTTCATCTCTTGCACATCGCGGCCTTCTTCTTCTAGCCCGTTCGGAGCCTCAGTTTCTGGGACGAGCGAAGGATTCGAGAGTTGGGTGTAGAGTGTTAGTGTGTGTAAAAGCTAGAGAGAGTTTCTCTGAGGTGTTCGTGTGTTTCTGTTTGGGCCGGAAGTTGTTTGGAGCTTGGAAGTTTCTGGGAGTGCGTTCATTTCGTCCTGGGGTTGGTCAAGTGGTGGTTCAGTGGCACCCAAGAGCGGTGTCATCTGGACGTAGCAGTACGTTTGAAGTTGGTGTAGGGATTGTTGCTGTCAATACACAGAGTGGTTGGCTGGCCTTTTCCTGTGCTAGTTCGAGGGTACGTGTGTTGGGGCTGTTGGTGATGCTGTTGGGCACGCAGGTAGGAAGTGATAGCGAGCTGCTCTTGATGAGCTCGCGGGAGTGAAGGGCATTTTGAGGGTGGTGATTACCTGGTGAACAGTTGTCGGACGAAGGGCTGAAACAATGGCAGCCCCAGCAGTAGTAGTAGCCGGACCGCCTCCTATCAAGGAGTCTGATTTGCATCACCATGCAATGGAGCAGTTGCCTGGTCTGGCCTATTGTATCAACGACAATCCGGATTGGGGTGAGTGTTATTTCCCTCGTTGGACACAATTGTGGAAGTGCAGAGTTCATTTGTGCCACGCTCTCTTGTTCTCTGTCGCTAAGCCTCGACAGCTTCATCAACTCCAGTTCGGGACTTAAAACGTGTAGGCTGTTCACGCTGTCTGATTTCTGAAGTCGTGTACGATCAAACCCACGAGCAGGAGATAGGGATTTCGTAGCATAATATGGCATTCTGAATTGGAAGCATAGATTTACTACTTCCACCTCACGGAGTAAGCTCGGTGGTTTCATCTATCCTTTATTTCATTGACGAATAGTACAAGATGCGTGACAGATAGAGTAACAGAGCTATCGCCGTCTATTTCCTTGAACTAATTGCAGATACGTCTCCCTCTGCTGTGGGCCTATCTGATCATCGGCTCCGTTGAAAGACCTATTGTCTTTGCCGTTGATGAGAGGAGGCACGTGTGTAACATAACATCAGTTATTCCCTCGTAAATTACAGTTTCAAGTAGTGGACAATTCAAGGCTTTCTTTCGTGGCATACATGTCCAAGAGTTAGCTCACAATGTGGATGCAATTCCCAGTCGGATTCATGAAATTTGGATCAATGTATCGCTTTAATACTTGAGATTTCTTTTCAGGTACTGCAACTGTCCTAGGCTTCCAGCACTACCTGGTCAATGTTGGTGTGGCGGTGCTGATTCCACTTACAATCATCCGAGCCATAGGTGGAGAAGCGGTACGGTTCCCCAATCTTTGCTTGACTATGATCTGCATTTTCTGTTCGCATCTGCATCTTATTGATGGGTTGTGATGCAGCCTTGGAGCAAAATATGAGGTGTGTCGTAGTCCGTCGTACTGACTGTTGAGAAATGTGCAGCACGATCTGGCTAGGGCTATACAGTCTGTGCTGTTTGTGTCGGCGATCAACACCCTTTTGCAGACCTTTTTTGGGGCAAGACTTCCAGTAGTAATGGGGAATTCGTTCTATTTCTTGCCTATGGTTCTGTCAATTGTGACTAAACGTGGCATCATTGATTATCCGGATCCCCATGAGGTGTGCCCTTCATTCTTCTTTCAACATTCTGCTCATCCCTTCCAAGCACAATTGGTAGTGACTCGAATTTGCGCACGCAGTAGCATGGTACTTGAATATTATGGCGCACGAGCATTGTTGGGATTGATAAGTAGCGTTTGACATGACAGAGATTCCTTCGGGGAATGCGAGCGACGCAAGGGGCTTTCATAGCAGGCTGTTTTCTCAACATTATTCTCGGATTCAGCGGTCTGTGGGGCGTTCTCATGAGGTATCGATTCTGTTCAATTACTGCTCCTTTCTACCATTCACTCATGATTACCAAAACCTTCGATGCTTTGCTAGGCCTTACACACTTAAGTGTGGTTATGCAGGTACATTAGCCCCATTGTGATTGCTCCAGTGACGACGCTAGTTGGACTTGGGATTTTTGAACGCGGGTTTCCGGGGGTAAGCTTTTCTAGCTCACTTGAAATTTAAAAATAAACTCGTGAAACCTGAATTATTGTTGAGGTCACCTGCAAAATTTGTGTGAACTATTACACATCCTGTTGATGCATCACAATAATTGTTGTGGTTTGACAGGTCGCTAAGTGTGTTGAAATCGGCATTCCTGCTCTCCTCATCTTTCTCCTCTTATCTCAGGTAATGAGTTGCAGCATTGAATTCATTCGTGTTTCTCTTCATTTGTTACTCTGTAGTGCACATGTTACCTATGTAAATGGTATCCCAGCTAAATCCTCCTTCTGGGATGCGGCTATGCAGTACCTAAGACACATCGAAGTGCGCGAACGTCACTTCTTCGAGCTCTTTCACGTCATATTCGGTGTGATCATCGTCTGGATCTTTGCTGTGATCCTGACAGTGGCGGGCGCTTACGACCACGCCAGTGAACTCGGCCAAAGGAACTGCAGGACTGATCGTTCAGGCCTGGTGTCGGCTGCACCTTGGTATGCTCACAGCCGTCGTTACGCAAGACGCATGTGCAGGGTTGTCGCTTTGTACGCTAGGTGCTACACGTTTGTGTGAGTTGGAGATGTCGGTCCGGAGACACGCACATATGAAACGGGGTGACGGTGGTGGAATTGTGGCAGGGTGAGGATATCGTATCCGTTCCAGTGGGGGTCCCCCACGTTTGATGCCGGTGATGTTTTCGGCATTATGACGGCCGCATTTGCATCTCTTGTGGAGGTTGGTCCCTGATGCCACGTAGCAAGTCGTGAGTGTTGCGGTGAAAGGTTTGGTGGTGTGCAGTGATGATGAGTGAGTGAGTGTGTATGTATGCAGTGATTGGGTGGTGTGCATGTGGGATTGTGTGCAGTCGACGGGTGGGTTCTACGCGGTGTCTCGACTCGCTGGAGCAACGCCACCTCCGCCGTATGTGATCAGCAGGGGAGTGGGATGGCAGGGGATTGGACTGCTGCTGAACGGGTTCTGGGGGACGTTCACGGGGACAACCGTGGCACCGGAGAACGTGGGGCTGGTGGGGTTGACGAGAGTTGGAAGCAGGAGGGTGGTGCAGATTGCGGCAGTGTTCATGCTTTTCTTTTCCATCTTCGGTACGTAACACGAGTGGAGTCGGTGTTGGGTGTGGGCGCGTTGTTACATGGGTTGATGCGAAGGCAAGGCCGTGGTGCTGAAGATGGTTGCAATGGGTGTGTGGGATGCAGGGAAGTTTGGTGCAGTTGTAGCGTCGATTCCTCAGCCAATTGTGGCAGCTATTCTGTGCCTGACGCTTGGGATGGTCGGTGAGTAGGGCGCTTCAGATGTGTGGCTCAGTGATGATGATAATGATGATGATGATGGTGTATTTTTGGGGATTGTAGGAGATTCGTTGTTGGCGAGGTAGATTAGGGGCAAGTTGGGTGACAAAGTTGTGTGTTGTAGCGTACGCGTTATGATTAGGGGTGGTGGTGGTGGTGGGTGGTGATGTTGGATGTGCAGTGGGGACTGGAATCTCGCAGCTGCAGTTCGCGAACATGAACATGACGCGAAATATATTTGTGGTGGGATTCGCTCTATTTATGGGGCTGTCTGTGCCGCAGTACTTCAGAGAGTTCGAGTTGAGAGCTGGACATGGCCCCGTGCACACGAATGCTCGATGGGTGAGTAGGTGGTTTTGTGTGGATGGGTGGGCATGTGATCGCAGTTGGATGAGGTTGAGGAGGTTTGTGGGAGGTCTAACATGTAAAACTGGTTTGTTTTTTGCAGTTCAACGACATCCTGAATACATTCTTCGGTGCGCCCGTGATAGTGGCGTTCGTTGTGGGGACAGTGCTGGACATCACTCTGACCCGGCACGTATCGAAGAGGGACCGGGGTATGCTGTGGACTCGCAAGTTCCGGCACTTCGGGCATGATCCTCGCAACTATGAGTTCTACAGACTCCCTGCTGGTCTGCACAAGTTCTTCCCGCCCACTTAAATGGTGCATGCCCTTCAGTCGTTGAAGCGCTCGGAATGGGTCATTTCCTGCACAACTGCCGGAGTCAGCTGATGTACAGTGCTCTTCATATGGTGTAGTGGGCTCCTTGTTCGGGATCGTAATTGTAAATTTTCCTCCTGTTGGAGGGTGATGTAGAAGATTCAAGTAGCAGGACGTGGGTGTGGTGGTTTAGTGCGTAGCCTACATATAACTCTTGGGGACTGGCAATGAAATTGAGAAGAATTTTTTGTAGGTGGAATTGGATAATCTAGTTGCTGGCAGTGCCAATTGTGTATGAAAATCGTGCATATGTACACTCACAATTTGGGATACATCTTTTACACTCATAATTTGGGATACATCTTTTACACTCATAATTTGGGATACATCTTTGACACTCATAATTTAGGATACATTTTTTGCCTTGATGCGGCCGAAGTGTTTAAGCTTCTTAGTTTATGTGTTCAGTTTTGCACGTGCTCCACCAGTGTTTTTCATAATGATGTCCAGGTTATACATGTTTTCTTCACCATTGTTCTCTTGCTACCGAATTCTCAAGTCGTTCTAAACAAAGTCAACGTTTCTTTCAAGTGAAGTCTTTCTGCTTCTTCATTTATGCTTGTCGTAATTACCTCATCGTTGTCTGAACTCTGTATGTGTGGAAATGGACATATAAGTTGGTGCACAGAATGAGCTCTTATGTTCTGTGCCAATGATGGGAGAATGGATTATTTGAAATTTGTGCAGAGAACACTTGCGTCTTACAATTTTGTGTCCATTCATATGCTATACCTTCCTAGATACGTACAGTGTCCCGTGCATTGAAAGTTTCCGTGTGTAGGTTGTCGACGTCAGTTTTTGCACGGCGAACACTCTTTCTTTCACCGAAGAGTTTCGGACCCATGTCAACGGTCAAGACTGTTTTTTCGTTGCATTTATGAAGGCAGTGGAATGAGCTTTGATTTGCATCCGCATGTCACCCTTGGCAGAGGAATCTGAGGAGATGGTCTTGACGTGCATCCTTGTTTGATCCAGTCTTGCTCTCCGAAGCAGCAGGTTGTGGAATCTGCTTACTCAGCCCCATTCTTTTCCGGTAAAGTACCATTCGTAGAGGCTAAACCTAGGTAAAGTCAAATGATGCTGTGTTGTATCATTTGCCGATGCATAGTTTGCTGTAATGAAGCATGATTACATGTAGATGAATTTACAGCAATAGCTGGAATCTGATGGATGATTCTCAATCAAAGTCTAAAGTTACTTGGATTTTGACCCTTTCAAACAAGATTTCCTGTTTACAGAAACTCATCCAGCAAGCAAATAATCGATCCTTTAAGTTCCAACCCCTCTCTTACAAAAAAGACTTTTGAAATTACTTCCGACTCGTCCAAGCTAAATCGAGAATTAGTTTCAGAGAGCTTTGCTACACTCTTTCCAGGTGGTGAGTCATGAAGATTTTTTTTACTTTTTTTTTTTTTTTTTTTTTTTTTTTTTCTGTTGATTGCGAAGATTACCCAGGAGCAGAATAATTTGGTGAGATATATTCCCATAAAATCAAATTGGGTACTTTGCTTTCCTCCATCTAAAATCAACCTGAAGCATTTTCAGTCTTCAAAATGTGCATTAGGGTTAACAGATGTCAGGTTAGGGGAAATTTATGGATGGTTTGACTGGGTAAGGGTCAGACATTGTGAGGTGGTGGCTTCATGAGAGGAAGAAAATGTCTGCTCTTATGACCGTTTTGATATTCCTTCCACCACAGATTCAGTTTTCAAATTGCTAATCCTTCATGCTTTTAATGAGATTTGCGTTCAGACTGGCTCCATTCAGCTTTGCAGCCTGACTTGACATGGTCCTGGTCCTGGTCCTCTTGCTCCAGAGTAGTACTTAAAAATAAAATATAAACGTACAAACAAACAGGAGGAGGAAAGATAGAGGAAATGAAAAAGAAATGAAAAAGAATGAAAACAGGAGGAAAGATAGAGGAAATGAAAATTAATCAAATGAGAGTTTATTTGAATTAACTTTCTCTCAAGTTCGGTTGTATGTGTCATGAGATCTCCTCATGTTGTCTCAGAGTAGGAAATGGGATAAAAATTCAACTCACTTACTTGGCTATAAAAGAGATTTATAACTTCTTTGCTCTTCCATATTGGAGTTGGTTTTGGAGCCACTCTAACTAGTTTTAATTCTGATTAACTCTGGAGTGTTGGTTAAATAAAAATAGAAAAAAGGGCTTGGCCTCCCACTTCACATAAAGGAGTAGAATAACCTCTTTCTAGCATAAAAAAAAACAAAAGAATAAATTTTTATATTTTCTTATATAAAACACATAAAAGGAGGATAAACCAACAAGATAAACTAGAAGAGACAAATTTGATCTTTGATTAGCTACATCTTTCATTGTTTTCATCAAAAGTAAAACAAAAGTTGAGTTATGCAGCAATTCACAAGGCCTTAATAGAACCAAGATTAGAGATTCACAAGGCCTTAACAAAATTAGGTTTACAAATTCACAAGGCCTTAACAGAATTAAGTTTATATATTTACAAGATCTTAATAACACATTTGATTCACTTCTGCTTCAAAAAATGTGTTTTGGTATTTTGATGTTTGCAAGGGATGTCACTCATCCAAGAATAGCATTGTTTCTTCTTCATTTGTTCCTTCTTTTTGACGTCACATTAGCATTCTTTGGTTGAGGTTGTCAGAGAAAGAATAAATGTGGCATTGGAAAATTTAAAGTATTTGGTTTTAGGTGTGGATGGAGACTATGGTGGTTGATTGGGATAATTAGGGTTCTTTCTTTGCAAGTGGATTATAGAGAGCTATGTTTTTTTTCTAAAACAAGTAGCATCCATCTATGATTTCTGTAAGTCATGGTGTTGAACATGTCATTATGAAGGTTACAACTATTTGAGGTAGAAAGAAGGTTTCATATATATTGATTGCAATTCAATAACATTTGTTTATTTTTATTTTGTGTTTATGTGTATTGATTGATTAATTACTTCTTCTATTGGTTTTTGGAGAGAAAGTGTGACATAATCATGTTTTATTGGGTGCTAGATCAACTAGTTGGGATTTGGTTTGTTCCACTTTGCATAGAAGATATTAAGTGCTTGAGAATCACTTCCACAACTTAATTTTTTTGTTACAATCAAAGGATGCTTACAAGGCTTGTGATATCTTCTTTTCTTATTTAGTGTAGATATATGTGAAATTTTATTTATTTATTATTATTATTATGTCTACAATTTGGATGATAGTATTGAGACGGATGATTTAAAGAGATTTTTAACTTTAAAAGTTGAATTGTAAAACAACATATTTTCCATGACAACTGCACTGGTTCAACTAGTCATATCACAAAATGGCTCATTCCCAATACACACACAAGGAACCAAAAGCTGCAGAACAGGGACAGCCTCAAACGCCGAGCAAGGTCACGAGGAAGGAACGAAACCCACACAATGACCGTACCACACAAAATTGAAACCAAAGAACGGAACAAAGCGACTAACGAACACTAGAGGAAAAGACGGAGTGCCGTTGAATTCGTCAAATGGGGGTGGGGGGGGAGGACGAATGTTGACATTGGTGATGGAGTGGGTGTCGATGAGATCTGGCTCTGGCTCAGACAGACGGCGTCCTCAGCCCAGATCAGGATTCAAAAGTGGAAGGAAGGAAGGAAGGAAGGAAGGCAGGCAGGCAGGAAGGCAGGCAGGAAGGCGGAGGAGGAGGAGAGGAGGAGCATGTCTCGGAGGACCGTTGCGACGACTGTGCCCTAATCGAGTGGTGGTAGCGCTGGCATTTTGAAACCACAGCAGCCCCCACTGTTGCCAGCCGTTCCGGTGCTGGGGTGGGGGATGTACAATCGGAGGACGATTTTAGGCTGAATCTAATCAGAGAGCCTGACAGTCGAGCCAGTTTAGCAAGCGATAGGGGGCGAGACATCAACACAATCAACAACAAGGTGGGAAACAAAAAAAAAAAAAAAAAAAAAAAAAACACACACACACACACACAAACACACAACAACAGCAAAGGAAGTGCTATTCCTGGGATTTTACTGTTAGGTTCCTGCCCCTGAAAGTTAGCCTGCTGTCATCGATAGTGGACCGTCGCCGTCGCCGTCGCCGACCGATCAAATTTGCAGTGAAAAAAAAAACAAAGAAAAAATATTGGATGCGTTTCCATGTCCTTCATCGCTTTGGGTGCCCAGTGGCTGCGTCTCTGTGCACATCGATTGTCTCGGTTAGTGCTGGCCCACCAGCTGGGAGAGCCGCCTTTTCTTCTGATATTGCATTCAAGCTCTCTGTCACGACTCACAATCTCACCCATTCGACTCTCGTTGTCTCACTGATTGACGTCCCGCTGCTCCCTTCCGCCAGTTTTGATACTGTCCCTCTCGAACTGTGTGCGTCCACCTGTGGATCATAGATCGTTTCGAGAGCTCAGTGTAGCTTGTGCCTGGCGTGCTTGGGTGTCGTAGCCATTCCCCTGCTTGCGCCAGAACGGTGCCTGGGTCTGAAGAGCATTCGAGTGTTCGTTTGTGACCTCGTTGGGTTGGTGAGCTGCCGTTGCAGTTGCTTGACTGCGGGCATTTCTGGACATGATGGTACGCTTGAAGTTGGCGTCCTGATTTTGGTGATCAGTTTTTACAGAGTGGGTGACTGGCCGTTTCTTGCGTTCCTCGGTGGTGGACTGGTGTGAATTGTGTTCAGAGGGCGTACAAGGTGATGTCGAGAAGTGTTCAATTAATTCGCATTAGCGACTGTTTTGGAACACAGTAGTTAGAAGGTAGCTGTCGAAGGGAGAAAGGTCCGTAGGATGGCAGCCCCAGCAGTCGTCGTGGCTGGGCCGCCTCCGATCAAGGAATCGGATATGCACCACCACGCATTGGAGCAATTGCCTGGCCTGGCGTATTGCATCAACGATAACCCGGGATGGGGTAAGCTCCGCTGGCATTTGTTCAGCTAATCGTTATGACGTTGTAATGTCGGGTGTGCTGCAGAATGTTGCTCGGTCCCAGTTGTATACTCTTTGGTTGTTCGCCCTAATTCACTCCATCATTTAAGCAGTTGGTTCTCTTGTCGTGAACTCATAGTCATTGCGCGCGTTTGGTTCCGAGGTTCGACTGAACAGCGCAGTCCTCTCTCTTCATTAATAACTAGCACTAATTTATCGTAGTTATTTTCTCGTACGTCCCATTCTCTCGTTCTGGTGCCAAGGAGTTTACTGTGTACCGTGGCAGAGTGGAATTTGTGAACTTTGGATTCACGTTCTAGTTCACATGCCCTCGTCGAGTAACTTGTGTGACGTAGTTTACCCCGGCAGAATCAGGAAAGAGTCCATTACTAAATTTCCTACTCTGTCAATGGGCATCACATAATATGAAACTCTTGGAGGAGATACATATCGCACGAGACGGGGTTCTATCGCCCTGCTCCGTGAAATCTGTATTTTCATACAAATGGCATCAGGACGCTTATGACACGAATCAGTATTACCGTGTTTTTTTCAAATTCGCTGATTACGTTGATGCACATTATACTTCCTTGTTTCGGACCATTGGGTCGAATGCAATCTAATTCGAAGTTGGCGTATATCAGGGACCTCATTTGGTCTTGGATTTCAGCACTATCTGACAATGGTTGGGACATCGGTGTTGATCCCACTAGTGATCATTCGAGCGATTGGCGGAGAGCCGGTATGATAGTCCGCTCCTTTTTTTCCCACATGTGCAAATATAAAATTAAGTCCTGCCTATTGAGCTTCAGTTTATCAGTTGAACTGAGTTGAGTTTTTCACCAGTATACTATGATCCTAAGTGTCATTTATTGTATTATGCAGCACGATCTATCAAGGGCAATTCAATCTGTGTTGTTTGTATCGGCGATAAATACTTTATTGCAGACGTTTTTCGGTGCCCGACTCCCAGTAGTGATGGGAAATTCGTTCTATTTCTTGCCGATGGTGCTTTCGATTGTTACTCGTCGAGGTATTATTGACTACCCGGACCCCCATGAGGTAAGAGTTTAATTCCTCATTCAAGCTCTTTTTGGCTACACTCTGTGAGCTTCCTTGAGACTGCAAGTGCTTCAACCCAGGCGAAGAGATTCATAAGAATGTCTAATCAGGGAATTGGTTTTTCAGAGATTTCTTCGGGGAATGAGAGCCACGCAAGGGGCTTTCATTGCGGGATCGTTCTTGAACATCATACTCGGTTTCAGTGGCCTGTGGGGCGTGACAATGAGGTTAGGACTGATTCCAGTGAACCATTAAGTTACCGTACCAAAAGTTCTGATTGATCATCATCGCATAAGTGGCTAGTACCAATCTGTACTTTTTGGTGGTCCCAGGTACATCAGTCCCATTGTCATCGCGCCAGTGACAACACTGGTTGGATTGGGGCTATTTGAACGAGGGTTTCCAGGGGTAAGCACCTCCTTCAGGTTGTGAGGTTTTAAGTCGCTTCGCTCATCTGGGGTCTAAATTTTAGTTACCCAAAAATTATGTGTTATTGGATACACGTTCTCTGATTCGTAACTCTCTGGTGATACTTGAGCAGGTGGCGAAGTGTGTTGAGATCGGCATCCCAGCCCTTCTCATCTTTCTTGTGTTCTCTCAGGTAATAATTTCCTGCTGTATTATACTTTTGAAATCAGAGAAATTCTATTTTTACAAGCTGCGTGCATGTCTCACCTTACATCTACACTTTTAACTTTGGTACTATTTTGGTTGACCAGTATTTAAGGCACTTCAGAGCACGTGACCACCACGTCTTCGAGCTGTATTCTATCACCTTCGGTGTGGTCATTGTGTGGGTCTTTGCAACGATCCTTACAGTGGCTGGTGCGTACGATCACGCCAGTGAACTAGGGCAAAGAAACTGCAGGACCGATCGATCAGGCCTTGTTTCGGCTGCTCCATGGTACAATCGGATCCCTCGTACTTAGGAATCAATTCTTAGTCGTCTCATCCTTGTTGATTGCCCTGCACCTTCCTTCCAGATCGGATTCACTCCTAACTCTGATGGGACATTAATTTTTTGCCAAATTGTCAGGGTAAGGATATCATATCCATTCCAATGGGGCTCTCCAACTTTCGATGCGGCCGATGTCTTTGGCATCATGGCGGCCTCATTTGCATCTCTTGTGGAGGTTAGTCTTATTCAGAATTGCCTTCCTGTCTTGTGTGTGAACCATTTTGACCTGGAAGTGGAGATACTGATTAGATGCCTCGAATGTGGTGCAGTCGACGGGCGGGTTCTATGCCGTATCCCGACTCGCTGGAGCGACTCCTCCTCCTCCGTATGTCATCAGCCGAGGTGCTGGATGGCAGGGGGTTGGGTTGCTTCTAAATGGTTTCTGGGGGACGTTAACGGGGACCACTGTGGCACCTGAGAACGTCGGGCTGGTTGGGTTGACGAGGGTCGGCAGCAGGAGAGTAGTGCAAATAGCCGCACTATTTATGTTTTTCTTTTCCATCTTTGGTACGTCCTGGATATCTTTACGGAATTTTCATTGTGCTGTAATCAAGATGCCTAGCTGTAAGTAGTCGTTTCTTTCCATGGAGATTAACACTTGTGTGTTTGTGGGGAGCAGGGAAGTTCGGTGCTGTCGTAGCTTCGATTCCTCAGCCAATCGTGGCAGCCATACTGTCTCTGACGTTCGGCATGGTTGGTAAGTCTCGATTGTAGGCGACCATTGTGCCGTTAAGATTGGTTCTTCTGCATTTTTGGTCTGGGACATTCGATTCCGTCATTCACTGTGGGAACCCGCATCTAACATTTCGGCGTACTTGTACCTTTTGGTGTGCAGCTGGGACCGGAATCTCACAACTGCAGTTCGCAAACATGAACTCGACGCGGAACTTATTCGTGGTGGGATTTGCACTTTTCATGGGCTTCTCTGTGCCTCAGTACTTTAGAGAATTCGAGCTAAGGGCTGGACACGGCCCCGTGAACACCAACTCTCGATGGGTTAGTGGACCTTTTCTCTCTCTTTCTCTCCTACTGTTTTAATCCGTGCTGGTTTCAGTTGCAAGTTTGAGGTCGTTTGACATTTTGTGCCAATGACATTGCAGTTCAACGACATTCTCAACACTCTCTTCGGTGCCCCCGTCGTGGTCGCTTTCATCGTAGCGACAGTGTTGGACCTGACCTTGACCAGGCACGTCTCGAAGAGGGACAGAGGCATGTTGTGGACTCGTAAGTTCCGTAACTTCGGGCACGACAACCGGAACTACGAGTTCTACCGACTCCCTGGTGGCCTGCACAAATTCTTCCCGCCGACATAATCGCCCCTTTCATCTGATACCCTGTGAAGCGTTTTTCGCTTGTACTAGGATGTCTCGTGCTGTACCATACTCTCCAAATGGACAAGCGGGCCCCTACTTGGGGTCCTGGAATCGTACTAGCTCAGGTGTGGAAGTCTGTGGATACCGTAAGGTGGGAGGCTACCGGCAAATAACATTTGGGAGCTAGTTGGGCATCAGCGGGTCATTGCGTATTCGGTATGGTTTAGGTGCAATTTTGTAATTTAACTGCACGCATTTCCGAGTGTATATGAAGTAAATGCTTGCTAAGCTAATGATCAGGGTATGTTTATGATTGGCCCTGACAAGCAAATTGAATTGAAATATAGTTAAATTTGTACTCTTATCTTCATGTTGTCTGGATTCAACTTCCCGGTTGCACAGATTAATATTTCATTCCTTACGAAGTCGCTGATGTGCGTAATTTGACAATTACAGTTTATCCATTTCATTGTCCAAACCTCACCAAGATCAGCTTTTCCGTAAATATTTGTATGTGGAAGCGTGGAACTTTTAGCGTGAAGAAATGTTACCAGCATGGTGGGAGAATTCACTCTTTAACATACAAAAGCATGCAATTGCGCCGAACACAAAGAATAAAACTTTTCTAAGTTGATTAATGCCAATTAATGCAATGGGAAAAAACGGTTTTGTAAACTATGACGATGAATATGGAATGTTCTGACCAACTGATCCTTTTCACACCGAATGTTGACGCTCTACATCCTGAGTGCCACCTAGCAGCCGCAGTCAGAGGAAAGGAACGCGTTCACACTGTCCATTGACGTTGACCTCCGGCTTGGTGAGGTAGACCTTTGGGGCAATCCAAGGGGTCTACGTCTCCACTTTCCAACCCAAATTATTGCTTCTGTTTTCTTATATTTGCATGCAATTCACACGAAGAAACACAAAAGTGGGGCTTCTGCAACTGAACTAAACCATCCTTTCGAAAAGATAAGAAAAGAAATTGTTGTTTTTTTAGAATGAAACGGTTGATTAAGTTTACTGTTTCATATGCACTTGTAGAAACTGGGATGGATAAGTTTTTTTGAATGGTGCATTCCGAGGGGAGTAGTGCAGGCTGGCATTGGAAGAATGATTCCCATTTGCAATGATTCAATTTTTTTATTCTGAAGTCCCCGAATGGATGAATGTATTCGTGGATGAGATTACATGCGTCTCATGGATGGATGAGATGGTTTGCAGGGATAAATCAAGGCACTCCAGCCATTGAAAGGCATTCAGCCCAGCCAATCCCGCCTCCTACTTCTTCAGAGGCAACAAAAAAAAAGAAAAAAAGAAAAAAAATAAGGGCTGCCCGTTCACATACTCAATGAACTCTTTTGTGTGTGGTAGACATGAAAGTACTAAATCAACATTCCCACACTTATTCAGAACAAAGTAGTAGAAGAAGCATGTTGATAGTGGTGGTTGTGGAGAGGTGGGTGTAATGCCTGAACAAGATTCTTTGACTTTGGCTCAATATATCGCCAACCTTTTAAATGTCCGTATAATCATGTGTATACTACATGTATGTACTGTGGCACTTTCTAATAATATTACTATGAATATTAGCTCAGCTGTTCTATGCTCCTTTTTCTTCTTCAGTTCTTTTTTCAATCGCACCTCCATGGAACTTCAATGCTTTCCATGCACCTTGTGTCTGTAAATGCGAAGCTCCCTTTGGACACCTCCTTCCTCTTCTTCTTCTTCTTCTTCATCTGTTCTTTTTGACTCAGTGCATTAGCATCATCAACCACTCATTTGTGGAACTATGTTTTACTCCAGCCCTATTGCAGAAACTTTTAGTCTATATTTATGTTCAGGAGCAAAAGTCTTTGAAGAAGATTCAAGGCATTCTGTGAATGATTGCTAATGTCTGTAGCTTTATGAAATTAGTTATTCACTTATTATTGATAACATGTGTAAATGAAGTTCTAATGCCATAATTGGATGACCTTTCATTAGACATTTATGGAACATTCTAATTCATCATGCCATAGAATGGAATAAAATTGTAAGCTTAAAGATGGAGTAACCATTAGCTTCTTAGGTACTCACTTATACTTCCTTTTGAGTGAAATTTTTTTGGAAGCCATAGAAGTGAGGGTATGTGTGACATATGTCAATCAGCGATGGTTGCTGAAATATCCATCACCATGAGCATGCATGAACAAATAAGGATGAATCCTAGAAGGGATTTGTTCATCAACAAATATTTTACAACAATCAATTGCAAATACTTTTCACTAAATAGTAGTATGCATAATCACTTGCATAGAAAAATTATTTGAAGGGACAGGAACAAGGTATCTATTCATCCATACAGGGGCAGGTCTGGGTCAGGAACCTTTTGACCTGGTCTCTCTGAAGGGAAAAGAAGTGGAGTACTGAGCCCAGCCAGCGTGGCCCCCAGTGGACTCTCATTAAGCCCTAAACCCAAAGCCCCCCCATCAGTCGATTCTACACAGTTGGTGGACTCATGCATGGCACCACCCCCCAGAATTCCACAACCAACGTACTTCATCCATCCATCCATCCATCCATCCATTCCCCTCCCTCCCCTCGTGATGGGATTGTCGGCCACGTCGACTCTGCCACTTGCATGCTCCTGGGCCCGACACCTGTCAGTACTGGACCCAAAAGGGCGGGAAATATAGTTTCTGGAACCTGGTAAAAAGAATGAACACCCAAAAAATTGGTGGATGAAAGGTTGAAGAATCTGTAGGTAGTTGCATTTATCTATTCAAGGTTCATATTCTCAAGTTTGATGATTGGGAAAATTTGAGTACGTTAGGGCATTGAAATAGAGGAATAAAATCCTGAAACTTGCATTTGATTCTTCAAAGCAACAATTTCTAACATTTGAATTGTTGTCTTAGAGCAGAGGAGTGGTTTCTATATATATATATACATATATATATCCCTGCCATTGGCCATGAAAAAGCTATACAAATTTAACTTGTGGTTGTTAAGTTCAAAATTAATAGACAATAAACTAGAAATTATTTTGCAAGTTGTAGATGGTTTTCTACTAATTAATAATTTCTTTAATTTTGGCCAAATGAAAAGGCTTTTTTATTTTTTTATTATTATTTTTTATTATTTATTATATGCTTGTAGAAACCTATATTGTTGGGTAGTACAATCTGTAACACAGCTATTCATTCATTTGTTCCTATGCTCTATTGCTTCTATATTTAGCCAATTAGAAGCCTTCTTTCTCTCTTTGTATTATATCTATGTTATTTTATATAATAGACATCTACACCTAATATGAATTATACAGCTTTATTTGGCTTTGTGAGCCCAAACTCTCAATATAAATGCAACAGCCTAAAAATTGAACAAATCTCCAACTTCTAAAATCAAAAGAAAAATACAATGTTGTCCATCCATAGAATGCCTTCTAATGCTTCTTTCATTATAATGAATGAAGTTTTGCCTTGATATACTTGTTATACTCACTTTAATGGTGTAACCAACTAATTCCTCCCTCATGCATTGCTTTCATTGTTTTTGTAGCCACTATGATAACTAGATTGTTCACACTGCTAATTAGGCTTTATCTATCAAGTATCTACTTTGTCTTTTTTTTATTTTTCATCAACTCAAGATTTTTTTTTCAACAATAATATTAGATTGCAAAATAAAAGAATACTTTAGAATTGATGAAGTTTATATGGTTCTACATGTGCATAAAACTCTTTTAACATGAATAGGAACATGAATAGAGTGAATAGAGTGAATTAAAAAAAAGTAGGATCAAAAGCTTAGAGAGAGTTTTTTTCTTATGACTTATAGGAAAAAGTTGTTATAATAGATGTGATGCAGCAACTATTAAGATTATTTGTAACTTTATATTTAAGAATTCATTCAAGAAAAAAGGCATAGAAATCAAGAATATCATGCTTTTTTATATGTTGTATTACAAAATCTGCATGTTAGTTTTTATTTTAAAAGAACATTATCATTCTTTGTATATTTCATGTAATCTAACAATTTTTGGATTTATGATGGTATTGCTATTGAATATTACAAGCTTCAATTTTTAGTAATAATTGATATGATATTATAGATAAAAAGATATTCAAATAAAAAGACATTACAATTGTAACTATAATAGTTGAAAAATTTTAAATTGTATATTTTAAAAACTTTCTATTATATGCTAATAAGTCTTTATTGACAATAGCAATGGCATGTACTCTAGTTGTTCCAAGGTGCACCAATTCTTGCCTTCTTTATTTGAGCTTTCTACGCCAATATTTAAAGTTTATTCTCATTCGTTTCTTTTTCTTTTATCATGAACTTATGCTAAGTTTTGGACTATGCTTCTATAGTTTTTTGTATCTTTCACTTTCGAACATACAAAGATTTTAAAATTTAGCAAAATCATTATCAAATTGCACCTCTTAAAGACTTCTTTTGTGAACAATCAAGTGCTTGTAAAAAGAAAATCATATAATCCTTAATTTTTTTCAATTTCAAATACAAGGAAGAACTTTCTAATCATGTTGGTCTTTGACTATGAATAGTCCATGTAATAGTATGTTGGTCCAAAGAAACAAAGCATTGCAATTCTTCCAAAATACATAACAAACTGTCATAGATATACATATTTATCTAAATAAGAAGTGTTAGATAGAAGATAAATGTAGGTAGATTTGATATTATCTTATGGAAAAACTTCTTAGAAGCTTTATAGAAACATATTTGATTTTAGAAGTCTTTGTAGTTGATTAATAGATTAAAAACTTGACCAACAAGTTAGTCATGTATCACATGTATTAATAGCTTGTGGAATAAGCTAACTATGTGGTGCACCTATAAGAAACTTATCTTATAAGTTAAATACATGTCTTGTAAGTTGAAAACATATTGGAGATTTTATAGAACATTGCCACATAACTTATGGTTAGATAGTATATGTAGAAGTAAGAGTGAAGTTTTTTTCACTCTTGTCAGTATTTTTTTAGTTTTTAGTTTTGTTTGAAGACACTTTAGTTTTCTTGCTTTTAGCAATAGCCATTTTGATTTAATATTATACTTTCTTTGAATGATTATTTAGTCCTCCTGTAAAGTGAGACAAGAGTATATTGATCTTTTAATTCTTTGAGATTTATGACTTTGACAATTTGACAAGAATGCTAATTTATTATCCTTATTTTATTTTAGAAGTATTTAGATTATTCTACTTCTATTGTTGCATTTTGAAGATTGTAGACTATCCATTTTTAAACTAATTTTTAATTTTTTAATATTAATTATTTTTCTTAAAAATAATAGACTATTATTTTTTATAAAAATATTCATTTGGTATTAGAGGTTGCAGATTACTTTCTTCTAA